TGAAACAAGACAGCGTATAGTGTTATCTCTTTATAAGAGTTACGAAGTTAAAAAACTCCAATTTATTTTTTAAGTTTTTAGTTCAGTAAACAACCCAAGAAAGTGTGACAATTTTTAGGTTTCGAACGCGATTAGTTCTTCGAGGAAAGAAAATTTTTAATCCTTTTTCAAAGGTAATTAGCTAGTCAACTCAAGAGACTTTTAAACAAATGTGTGACTTGAAAAATAAGTTTTTTCTGAGCTTAAATTTTTGGAAATTTCTTGCAAGGCTTTTGACAAAAAATATTGTGGTTTAACATGCCAAAATAAACACATTAAAAAAAAAAGAAAAAAAGGATCCTCTTAATCGTATAGTAATACAAACCATTGTATTCTCATAGATACCCCAGTAGTTTTATTAATTTAACCCTTTAACCCCAAAGACTGACTAGCATCTAATTTCTCCTCACAGTTTCTCTCCTGAATCAAACATTAAGGTCATGAGAATAATGAAAATGATCAACAAGTACAGAAGCTCTTGATTGTTAAACAAATTCTCCTTGTCAGCACCTTAGGAAATGTATAGAAAACAGTATGGAGAATATGCATACTGATCTTAAGGTGTAAAGGGTTAATTGATATGTGTAGATACTGTTGTATCCTCACACAGACTCTTGTATGCTTATAGATACTTTTGTATCCTCATTATCCTCCACTTTCCCTCTGCCGCTACTATTTCGCTCCGTTTTATCAACTGAACGCCTGGAAAAGGTTACTTTATTATCAAAGGAAAATTTATGTAGGGGATTGCATTTTGTTGACTAAAAAAACTCAACAGATTTTTCGTCTGCTACTATTGTGCCATATCTATGAGTTATAAGACAATAAATATTCAATGAAAACCGAAAGAATACCAAATAAATTTGTATACGACAAAAATTTGCATGCGAGAAAAATAGTTCTTAAGAGCGTTGAAATGTATTTGAAATACACAAATATATACACATTGTAACTGTTGTTAAGTTAAAGATTAGGTTTGTTAGACATTAGTGACGCGTAAGATCAAAAGGGCTATTACAGTACCTCGCGTGTTGTTGCTTGAGAGAGAGAGTTAATGCGAGAGAGTTATCTGCGAAGTTCATTACTGCGTTCATTTGCAACTTCTATTCAGGCGTACAGAGAGGACAATCATAAACGTATTTTTTCTCTTCCCTTGTTGATTTCGTTTTATTATTTGATCGATCATTGTTAGGTTTTTGTGCGCTCGTCTTTTCTTGTATTGTTGTGTAATAATTATTGTTTTAGCTTAACTCCGTGTAATGTTCCTTCGATTAGGTGTTTTTTGCTTGTATTTTAGTTTAACGTGTTTGACATCAGATTATTACTCTGCAATAAATCGCATTGGAATCACGGTTATACGTGTCTGGTGTCAAATTTAGTGCATCGATGTCCTTGTGAGAACTTTGAATTCCGACTCCCTACGCTGCAAACGCCTGCATTTATACACACACACACACACATATATATGCATATATATGCAGTTTAGCAAGATAACTTTTCCAGTATTTCAGAACACCGAATCAAATACATCACCGAGCGAACTTTTGATAGAAATGCAAAAAATTGTTAACGAGAAGACGTGACCTTCAAGTAACACCACTGAATAATTCTAAAGAGAAATAAAATGTAAAGTGATTGGCAGAGAATCACTGAAATGGTTCAAGCTGGCTTATAAAATGTGACTTATTGAACACCTTCGATCGAATAAGTGTGGATTATTTAAGCGAGTTGCAATTGTCATCAGAATTTGTCCCACTTTCAGCTCAAAACAGTCTTACAATGCAGTGTAAACGTGGCAACATGTAAACCTCACTCATTTTCTGTCAACAAACTGCACTCTAACAGGTCTGTCAGGAATGGTAACACCTCTCATGAACGGTTCCACATTCTCTGCCTCAGGTGGGTAAGAGATGTCAAACTGCTGCACGATTCTGGCCATCAGCAGATGAAGCTCTAACTCGGCAATACGTCGACCGAGGCACATACGTGTTC